ACTGTATTAGATTCCTATTTGCTTCACTCGTCAACCTGGGCCAGCTTTCATGAGCCACAGTGTTGTTCGATTCCAAATTGTAGTACAGTGCATTCTTCTTCTTCCTTATTACTCTATTGGTGTATCATCATTGTATCATATATTCTTCTATCAATGTAATGCTTTCTTTGACAAAAAAAAAAAAACAATGTAATGCTTTGAACTGCTTCTGTTACACCATTCTCATTGACAAATATTAGATAAATCAAACCAGAATGGTTTCTTTCCTATGAAACAAATGCATATAGCCAACTAAAGTGTGGAATTACAAAAAGCTTTGTATGACAGAAAGTGGCTCAGAATGGAGTCTCGGCGTCACTCCTGGTTTCTGTTGGGCTGTACAATGCGGATCTGTTCCTCGGTCTGTTCTCCTCCAACTGCTTCACGACCTCTTCCATGGTGGGTCTGACTGTTGTAACTGGAGCACAACATCCCATTGCTAGCTTCAATGCATGAACCAAACCTTCTTCCATTGGGCTTCTAATTCCTTTCAGCGCCTCCAAGTCGAAAACCTCCATTGTTGTCTCCTCTAACACAGCAGCTTTAACCAAAGAAGGCAGATCCACAAACTCACTATTGTTCCTTCCACTCTTTCCTGGTTTCTTACCCATCAATATCTCCAAGAGAAGGATCCCAAAGGCGTAAACATCACTCCTTGGGTTGCACTTCTTCATCTTGTGTAGTTCAGGTGCTTTGTAGCCATCGGATTTCGCCTGCGAAACAATCTCATCGGCTACTGCCTGTACCATTATCTTGTCAAGCCCAAACTCAGTGAGCCTAGCAAAGAAAAAGTCGTCCACGAGCACATTCTTTGATCTAATATTTCCGTGGATGACAGGAACTTCTTGTCCGGTATGAAGATAAGCAAGTCCTCTGGCTATTCCCAGTGCAATCTTGTGTCTCCTGGCCCAATTCAGAGCTGGCTTTCCGGGTTTACTTTCTGCGCATCATTCAAACAACAAGTTACAACACGCAAATACAAAAATCAAGCAAGGACTTGCAACAAGATGATTAATGGGAAGAAGATGGATGACGAAAGCAAATACCGTGCAACAAATCATGTAAGCTTATGTTGGGAAGATAGTCATAAATGAGGAGCTTTTCTCCTCTCTTTCCCTGATAGAAAGCTCTTAACGGAACCAAATTCTCATGCCGAATGCGTCCCAATTGCCTTATAACAGGCAAACAAGAGCTTCTATCCTTGCAAGTACCTTCTCTCAATAGCCTCAATGCAATATTCCCTCCATCACTAAGCTTTGCCTTATAAACCGTACCATAGCTCGTCTTCTCCATAACTTGCCCCGTTGCATTCAAAACATCTTCCAATGTCAGATTCTCACCACCTTGGAACACAATTAACTTCCCTTCACCGCCATCCTTATCGCCGATTTCATTGTCTTCATCACCTTCTTCCAAATCATCTTCACTCTCTATGCTTTTCTTTCTTTTTTTGTTCTGCAAATACCCAATTAACAACGAGGCCGCAACAACAGCCCCTGACATTAAACCAATCACAAGGCCAGCAACAGCACCTGGACTCAACCTAGAGGAGCCTAGACAGGGTTTCAAAGGCAAGCCACAAAGGCTAGGATTGTTCCCTTCGAAAGATTCTGCACCAAACTTTGATCCATCAAAATTTGGCAATACCCCACTGAAGTTATTGTGAGAAAGATTTAGACTTTCAAGTTGTAATACAGCTAAACCCTCAGGAACAAGACCCTCAAAGACATTACTTGAAAGATCAAGTGATTTCAGACCTTTAAACCTGGTTATATACTCAGGGAACTCACCTGAGAAGTTATTACCACCCAAATCAAGAACTTGGAGATTACTGCAAGTGGAATTTGGCAAAGCAGGCTTAGGCAAAGCCCCAAACAAGGAGTTACCATGAATCTTGAGGGAGACAAGCTTATCACAGAGATTCCAAATCGATGGAGGCAAAACACCAGTTAGGGCATTACCGCTCAAATCAACATCAGAAAGAGAAGAAGTGTAACCAAGCTCAAGAGGGATTGACCCACTTAAGGAATTGATGTTGAGGAACACACTCTGAAGCATAGAGAACTCACCAATCTCCCTAGGGAGTGAACCAGTGAGATTAGCAGAAGGGAGCTGGAGGGAGAGAAGGTGGAGAGAAGAGTCGTTGAAGAGAGAAAAGTTGGTCCATTGTGGTGAAGAGAGGACGCTACATTGAAGAGGAGACCCATCTGAAAATACCCATTTTACCCCTCTCCATTGACAAACTGGAACAGATGAGTTCCAAGAAGACAACAGTAAGCTCTCACTGTTTCCTTGCAGTGAAGACTTGATCTTTCCCATAAGAAGCTTCACATCAGAAGAACCAGAGAGTGATGTTGCACAATGGCAACGGAGAATCAGTGTAAGGAAGAAGAAAACGTGAAGAAATCTCAAGGAATCCATGCGCATTTCTCTCACACACACAGAGAAGAGAGAGAGAGAAGGGAAAGGTGATGACTTTGAGTGTCAAGGCTGCTCCTTTGTAGTGAAAAGAGTGTATTGACAATTTTGTAAGCACTTTGGTCAAACATATCAACGGCTATGATTCAAACTCAAACGGGGTTAAGTGCTTACCGTCCGATGTACCAAAAGTTGGTATCTTTCTATCAGAAAGTAAGAAAGTGTTAACAAAGATCAAGAGCTGGAAAACTCAAAGCAAGATTGACAAGAATGGTATAAATCTACTGATTACTACTGATTTTATAAAGTTGCTTTTCTTTATCACTTTAATTGATTAAACTATTAGCACGCTCAAATTTAGATGTTTTATCAAAGTGTGTTCTTTCTGTGTTTCTGACTCACGGGATGTTCCCTACTCCTTAGATCTTGTCCGTACATGAGTCACCAAAGACATGAGATAAGTGAATCAGCGGTGGATGATGGGTTAGGTGCATGAATTCTTAGTTGGTTCTGGTTTCTAGAAGACAATTTTTTTGGAAGAAAGGACCCATTGGACTTGTGGGACAAAGAGGAAAATGCAGAGCTATATTTTGAAAGAAAAAAACACGAAAGGTGAATAGCTAAAGTGAGAAGAAGTGTTGTTGTCTATGTCCTTTTGTGTATTGCCCATTTCAAAATTTCAAGGGTAACAATCGAACAGACCGGTCCATGATCTGGTTCGGTGTCCAAAAATATTTTAGATTTGAATTATGACAGCAAATGAGAGGAAGTAATTTCTTTTATTGGTGAACTAGATTTTGGATGATCGGTTGACTAATCAATTTTAATGTATATAATTTTTTTAATACTTAAACGTGTATGATAAAAGATATAATTTTTAATATCTATAAATGTATAATAAAAATTATATGTATTATACATAAATGTAATAAAGTTAAATACTTTTGATCAAACAATTTAGTTTTAATATTATTATTTATAAATTGATCAAAACATATGCAAAATGCTATTTATTTCAATATCATTTATATGTAAAATTAATATTCATTATTCGTGTAAATTATAAAACATACGATAAATCATATAAATTTTAGATTTATATGAATTTGTCGGACACAACAAACGAAAACAATATGAGTGTGAATGTTTGCTATTGTTAGAGCATCTCCAATGTATTACACCATTTTTTACACTAAAATAGTATAACACTTAAATGGTGTTGAGTTTTTCTCCAATGTATTACACCATTTTTTACACAAAAAAAAAATATTCTTTTTCTCAATTCTTTAAAATTTATTGACCCCATATATTTTTTTAAGTTAAAAAAATTATGA